TGTAGTTCATCCTGTATTTTCAATTATTTATCATTCATTCTCTTTAATTACTTTAACTAAAAATTTAATTTCAATCTTTTATCTTTCATCTTCGCGTGAACTTTCTCACTAAAAGAATTAATGTAACCATTGCTTTACTATATCACATTATGATTTTTTTCTTCGCTTATTATACTCTATAGCTTTTATCATAAAATATTTGAAATGTGATGTGCCTAATCTTTCTTTCATACTACCATAACCTTTGACATTTTGTGCCATTTTTGCAAATATTTTATCACTTTTTTTTCTCTATCAATAAATTTTTTACTTAATAGTTGCTTAGTGTTATTTTAAAATCAAAAATTAGCAAATTGGATAAGAAATAATAATATGAAATATTTTAGATTGTTTTTATTATATTACTTATAGTATTATAATGAAAAAAAAAGGTCCTTTTTTTCACTCTGTTCAGAATATGCTTTGCTAAGAAATACTATGCCTTTTTTATGTGTAAATTTTCATTCTGCCTGATTATTATAGTGTTAAAATAAAAAGAAATCATACAAATGGATGATTTTTTTCTCTTCTAGTGTGAAAAATTTTATTAAAATTTAACTGCCAAATATTAATTTATCAAATTATGCAAATCAATAATTATATTTGCATGCAAAATATATACGAGTATTATTACTGTCGCTTGGAACAATTAAATTTGTAAAGTATAAATTATCCTGATTTACACTTTATAAATTTGTAATTTTTATAAGTTGAAGTTAATTTTTTTTCCCCACCTCTCTTTTCCTCCCATAAAAGTAAGGTTTTAATGGAAAGAATGGCTTTTATAATTTATTATATATTTGCAAGAAAAAATTAATTTCCTCACATTAATTCAATTAAATAAAATTTCAATAAGTTTTGACGTAAAGAGAATGGAATTCAATTCAGTATTACATAAATGAATAAAAAAAAGTTAACTGATTTTGACTTTTAAAGCATCAAATGTATGAGCGGTAAATACGATTAGTTAAACAAATCATGAAATATTTTTATTAATGAGAAATTAATATAATTTAAATGATAAAAATGAAAGGAATTGATATATTAAAAAAAAAAAAACAATAATAATTTCAACAAGCATTACTCGTTCAAGATTTATGTTGATTTTTCAGAAAACTTTCAAATATTTCAAATAAACATTTAAAATTTGCATATGAAAATTACAAAATAATTATGATAAAGATTGTATATCATTGAAATTTATTCAAAATTAATACAAATAAAATTTGAATATCGATTAAATAGAAAGTATTTTAAGGCTTCATGTGGTTTTTTTTTTATCATTTAACTTTAACACTCATTCGTATCATTATGTTTTTTAATGATGAAATTATTGCTCAGGGGCCACCGACTGCATTATGCATGTGTGGTGATACATCATTTCTTGCTGATTGTTCCCTTAATCATCCACCAATTCCAATATGTTATAGCACTCCAATTGAAGACGATTCAACTTCAATTTTAGAATTACATACTGCTATCAGTCGTGATTTTTTTGATGATTTGGATAGCATACTAACATCTCTTGAAAATTTTTTGGAAAATGCTGAAAATGAAATGGTGCAAAATATTGATAATGATTTGGTTGAGATTAATGAAATTGATAATGTTACTCCGGAAAAAAGAGAAACAGATGAAAATTTGGAAAATCGAGTGCAATCAATCAATACAGAAATGATATTGGAATTGAAGGCACCATTGAATTTACCTGAACCAAAGCAAGAGCAAAATATTGATAATGATTTGGTTGAAATTAATGAAATTGATAATATTACTCGGGAAAAAAAAGAAACAGATGAAAATTTGGAAAATCGAATGCAATCATCCAATACAGAAAAAGTATTGGGATTGAATGCACCACTGAATTCACCTAAACCAAAGTATCATTATTGGCTTCGTGAACGAAAACCTAAGAAATTAGACGAATCTGGCGATGTAAATTTCTAATGTTAATTTATTTAATATTCTTTTTGTTTTTGATTTTTGATTTTTGATTTTTGATTTTTTTTTTGTTTAGTAAATGTGAACCGGCAAAATTTTCTCATTTCAATTTTTTTTTTATGCATTATTGGTGTGGAAAAAAAAAGAAAACGAAAGATGAATAATCTAAAAATTTTAAATTTGATTGTGTTTGTTTAGATTGAAATTAAAGTAGCACGTCCCAAAAAAGTTGTGAAAAGACGTGCCCGAAAGAAGAAGAACAATGAAAATGCATCAAATTCAAAACCACGAAAGCAAAGACGAATTCGAAAAACCAAAAAGCAATTGGAAAATAATATCACTGATGGCAACAATGATAACAAGAATAAATGCACTGATAATATCATAACTTTAGATGATACCATCACTTTAGACTAATGAAATTCATAATTCTCAAATTCCCTTTAATATCTCGAATATGACCTCTAAAATGTTGAAACAATATATGTATCTCTAGTAATATAGTTTGAATATATATATTCTCAATTTTCTATCCCTTAGATTTTTGTTAAAAATTTATTCGAGATATTAAATTTTTTTTTGAATACATATTCAATGCATAACACTTCAATATGAATTCAATAATTTGAATTTCATTGCAATAATTGAGTGTTATTTCCAAAAATGACCACTGGAATTTAATAAAGCATTGAATGAATTCTATTTTCAAACATTTTATATTTAAAAACTTCATTTCATACCACTGTACATGTCGGATTTATTGATAGGAAAAAAAAAAAAGTGAGAAATGTTTTACATCATTTGCTAGTGATCTGCATATACATAAGTAATCTACATCAAATTTTGACATATTTCTCGCTTCAAAAAAGAATTTTAAATTGTTGCATTTGAATATCTCATACAATGACAAAAAAATTTCAGTAATGAATTTAGGTTGAAGTGAACATGCGTATTTAAACTTAAAGAAAGTATTGGCATTATTCTGAAAGATATGAAATAATTTAAAAATATGCATTAATAATCTGAGTAAATGAATAAATTGAAATAACTCTATCAACTTGTATTATAAATGTTTTTCTCGCTAAGTTAATATTAATGCAAATAAATACGACCAGTTGAAATTGTTAAATATTTGAACAATACATTGATCTTTTTGTTATTATGTAAATTTTCTTCTCATAAAAAATTGTTATTACTAAAATTTTGTAAGATTAATAAAATTAATATTACACAATAATATTTAGAATACGATAATAATTACATCTTAATTTTTTTAGCAAAATGATCAAATATTTATTATATTTTCTAAGCCTAAATTATATATGTTATACTATATTATTCAATCAATTCAATTTCTAATAATTTCACATCCATGCTTAATAGAAGAAATTGGTACATTATTAATAATGAATTATTAGTTGGGCGAAAGAAGGATTGAATTATAATATTTTTTAATGAAATTCCTGGCTTAAACACATAGTTGGTGGTTATCATTTTATTGTTGATTGTATCGAATTGAAACTTTTAAAATCCATTCACATCATAATATCTTGTATCAATTAGTTGTTATCATTTAGGAATATCCATGGCTGCTATTAATTAATTATTATCAATTTTTTTTTTTTTGAAATATTTTCCCTAGGAAATTCTCGTTTATTTAATACTTGAAAATTAATGTTTCATAACTTGTTGTATTATTTTTTAGTCTTTATTTTTTTTTCTAAAATTTC